GTCTCTCTTTCAGTCTCTGGTCATTCATACTAAACACAATCTTGTCTCTGATCATGTCATTTTCTGTGGTATAAAATTCACAATCCTTGCTCTTTTGCTTGAGCTCCGTCACATATTTCTCAATCGTGGTGTTACCTGACATAGGATGTGCCCAAAACTGATGTCTCTCAAACACTGTGTTCTTCTTCGGCAGACAATAGGCTCTGAACAGTCTGTTCATCTTCTTCTTCACCTTCATCTTCACCGTGTGCGATGTCTAGCGTGTTGTAAACTTCAAGAACCTCCTCTCCTAGTGCATGCAGCAGTATGGCCACTTTAATCTTCCTGTCCTTACCGTCTGCACCACTCGCGGTCATGTAGATTTGGAAGCGTTGTTCCCATCGTCGGCAGTTTTCTCCCAAGTTGCCAGTGAGTACCAGTGGAGATGGTAATTCGAATCGATCCATCTCTCTCTTTTTTTCTTTCTTCCAAAAAAAATATTGCGACTCCCGCTCTCTGGGGACCGCACCTGTTAGCTAGGCTTTAGGCTAACAAAACTTTCATCTGTTTACCTCCGGCAAAATGACGAACTGGACCGACTTCTGAAACCATGTAATAGTCCTTTATGCTATATAGTTGACCGCAGGTCATGGAGAGTAATAAGGTATCCGTAGACCTTTGTATGAGCCATCTTTATTTACTTAGCAGGTCTTCAGCCATGATACATACATGCGTTCAAGATGCGGGCTTGCATACACACCGTATCACTCCGCAGCCGCACCACATCAGTAACGTCCTGATGGTATATGTGCGCGGCACTATATACTACACACACACACACACACACACACACACACACACACACACCCTGGCGACCGGACATCTCCTTCATAATGCGCCTTCTCCTCGTTTTCCCAGCATTCACTGGATTATCCGTAAATCATACAAACAAAACCGGTTCTTTTTTAAACTTTGTTAATATGTTTTGGATGCAAATTGTTCTAGTATTTGTTCAGGCTGTTACATACAATTAGCCTCTGTTGCTACTTGCTGGTGGTGAGTAAATATTAAAATCAGTTAAAATTGACAACCGGTCCGCGATTTTTTTAATGTATCTGCCGGTCCTTGGCACAATAAAGGTTGGGAACCCCTGGTCTACGGGTCTGATTCTGCTGACCACGCCCCCCTGCAGGAGAGGTGAGCCGTGCTCTGATCAGCTGCTGGGCTGTCAGAAGAGGGGGAGAAAAAGAGATCTCCGTCCTCCGTGTTTTATTATATAGAGTCGTTATTCATTTGTTTTAACCTGTTACGCACGGCCCGCCCGGTACCGGGCGGATAAACGCGTCATTTGCAGGAAACAACGTCTAAGGAATCTTAATATTGAATAAAACTATGAATGTTTTATATCCATGTAACGGGAAGAAACTCAGCTAACTGATCTTTTTAATTTTTTTTTCCACAAAAACCCCACACTCAGCCTCTGAATTAGCCACGAGCGAAAAATATTTAACCTAAAACGGCACTTAAACTCACTCATAACTCCCTTATTACTTATCCTAGATGCACAGCCAACCACTCGTTTTTGGGGTCCTGGAGACACTGAATCTAGTGGTGCCCTCCTCAACACTCAGTGATAAACATTTGCGACGCTATAAACGAAAGCGTACATCATAACATGTGGAGCTAAGTAGCTAGAAACGCTAACATGGCTTACCTTGGTCAAAACTAGTCTTCAATGGCATTAAAACGATAAAAAAACGATGCTGCAGTTAATCCATAGGTTCATCCAATGTATCTGTGCCCTCTTTGAAATTATTTCTGATAATCCATAAGCAATAAAACTGCTTTTTAGTTTCCAAATTCCAGAAGGAGAGATCGGTCCACTCTGCTTTAGATTTCCAGACGCGCAGCCCCCATCTTTTCTCTTTACAATGAGTGTGTATGTGGGCCTATTGGCTCTAACGGTCAGAAAGGTGTGTCAATCATCAAAATCGAGCAAGGGGGGCCAGAGATATAGAAAAAAAACCATTTTCACCCAAATCACCTCAGAGGTGGGGTGGTTTTGGCTAAACCTCTCTAAAAAGGTCAAATGTCACTTGTTTTGCATCAATCTTGATACAGGGTACTTATTATATGTTGTACTTTGGATTCCTAAAGCTTTTAGTCTACTAACCCATCATCCAAGGGTAGTTTTCACTATCTGTAAAAAATAATTTTTGGACGGACACTATAATTTACAGTTTTTTACTATTTAAATCTGAATTTTCTTTAAAATAAAAAACATTTATATTGATTCTGACACTTCTACATCCAACTCACAGATGTAACCTTGCTTTGATAAAAGAAATTATTCATATAACCCTTTTAGAAGTTAAGTTGTAGTCATTTGTTTTGGGCATGTCATTTTCTGAAACATGAAAAACAGGCTAGGTTAAAGCTCAATAAATAACAAAGAAGACCTTTGACCGGCACTTTTCTAATTTTGTCCTGAAGATTTAAACTTTAACGGACATCTTGACCGGCGAAACAAACTGAAACTGAAACTCTGCCGCACGGTCCCCTCGTTCCTTGGAAGAGGCGGAGAGGTGGGTGTTTGTCATCTGCTGGTGGACTAACCGGAGAGAATTACAGTGCTTGCCTCGACGGGGAGGGATTGCATTGAATTAAAGCAGCGGGAGCAAACGCTTGCCTCGGGGAGGGAGAAAAAAAGCCACAGCGGAGAATAAACAGAAGGGTAACCATGGTAATTATGGACGGGAAGTCTTCTTCGCTGCTTTTGTGGCAGACTACAGCGCCACTTACAGGCCTGGCATATGTAGTACAGCGTCTCCAGCGCTTTCGAGCAGCAATGGTCGGCCGTGGCCCAACCCCACATTCCCCTTATAGGTGGAGAGTTGGCCCAATAGCCGTAGCACCACTTCTGTGACGTCATAGAAGTGTTCAAATCTGGATCAGTCTGTATCAGATCCGTTGCAGCCCCTTTTTTAGAGATTTGGGTATGGAGGAAAATAGAGAGGGTTGTGTTTTCTGACACTTGGTGAGTTCCCTGGAACACCAGGGACACATATTCATGTATAAAAGACGTACAAAAGTGCATTTTGCATGATAGGTCCCCTTTAAAGAAAGCCCTCAGGATTATAAAAGACCCCCATCACCCCAGCCACAAACTGTTCTGTCTGCTGCCGTCTGGCAGGCGGTACCGCAGCATCCGGACTAAAACCACCAGACTCAGGGACAGCTTCATCCCACAGGCCAGAAGACTATTAAACACCTGAACTTTGAAACAACATCCATAACATTCATAGGTAGGACACGTTCGAGTCTTGATTTGGATAGTGTGCCGTCGATGGGTTTCATTCCATTTCAAAGTGCTGTTTGACGCCGCACTGCCACTCCAACATCCAATCACAGAGCTTGAGAACTAATCACAGGGTTTGTCAAACAGAGCACATGGTGTAGTCCTAAACGATAGCTGGGGATTCTGGGTAGTGTAGTGTCTTCTGCCATCCTAAACTCAGAAAAAATATTTGTTTCTCCGAATCGAAGGGGAAAAATACAAAAGCATTGCACACAATTTAAACCAATCAATGTTGTGTAATTAACAAGGATAATCTGGTGTTTTTGAGTTGATGAGTAGTGCAGATATCACTGTCAAATCAATCGACAGTAAGGGGAATACTTACTTCCGGGTGTACAATTATCCGTTATCCAATGGGAATGGACGCTCACATTGCCTTTAAATGCCGCCGACACAAACGAATGCAGTACTTCCATGAGCGTCAAATCCCGCCGCAGATGGGAATACATTGCAATCAGTTGAAAGCTATTTGCGTCCCTTTATGAAGCTGAAGGAGCCTAGGAGCGTCCCAACTGCACGCCTCGGGACCCTGACCAAGCGTCGCTCCTGAACGTTTATGGAGTGAGAGTGTGTTGTCAAATGCTGCACTTAAGCCCAGCAAGATGAGTAGGCTTGGGGAACCAGAGTCAGCCGCCATCAGCAGGTCATTTAGAAGCCGCACCAGAGCTGTTTCAGTGCTGTGAGCTGGTCTGAAACCGGACTGGAAGGTTTCATAGAGCTCATGAGTGTGGAGATGTTCGTGAAGCTGAAGGGCAACAACTTTTTTCAGAACTCTTGCTAGAAAAGGCAGGTTTGAGATGGGGCGGTAGTTTGTGAGTACCTCAGGATCCAGGTTGTGCTTCTACAGGACCGGTCTGATGGCTGCCAGCTTGAGGGAGGGGGGGATCTCACCACTCAACAAGGATTTGTTAATTATGATGGTGGCAGTTGGAATAATGGATGGAGAGCAGGCTTTCAGTAGGGAGGTGGGGATAGGATCAAGGGCGCAGCTAGATGAGGTCATTGCTGAGATTATTTTTGAAAGCTCAGCTTGCGTGACCTCCGTGAAGCAGTTTAGGGTTGGTGCATTTGGTGGAGCAAGTACAGGATGTTGGGAAGAGACAGGTTGGTTTGAGGAGGCTTTGGCGATGTTAAGCCTGATGTTTTCAATTTTTGTTTTTTAAAGTTCCATAAAGCGGTTGCAGTCATCAGTTGTAGGAGTGGTTGATGAGGGATCACTAGGCTTGAGCAACCGATGCATTGTGGAGAATAGGTGCTTGGGTTTGTTACAATTTGTCTCAATCAGATTGGAGTAGTAGGCTGACCTGGTTGCTCTCAATGCCGAGGAATAGGCCTTCTGGTGATCTCTAAAAGAGAGCTGGTGGACAGTTAGGCCAGTTTTCCTATATCTGCGCTCAATCTTCCGACCCTCTGATTTTTGCGCTCTGAGCTGGTCAGTGTACCATGGGGCAGAGCGATGGAAAGACACCACTCGGCTTATTTCAGTTGCCAGCCTGTCTAGGCACTCATGCAGGGTGTTATTATACCGGTGCACATGCTCTTCAAGTGAGAGTGCAGCATGGGGCCTGGATAGGGAAGAAGAGAGGGCAGACGTTAGCTGACTATGGTCTATGTCAAGCTCAGCACTCATTATTCACTCAAAGCTATGTGTGTTGTGTTCCAGCCAAGAGCAAACAACACATTCTGCTGGACCTGGACCTGGACCTGGACAGGGATCTGAAGAAGGACTTGGACCTGGATCTGAACCGGAACCTGCTCCTGAACCTGGTCCTGAACTTGAACCTGGTCCTGAACCGGAACCTGGTCCTGAACCTGGTCCTGAACCGGAACCTGGTCCTCAACCTGTGTCCAGTAACCAGCTTACTGCCTGAGACCAGAACCAGGTGTGTGAGTCTCTCTCTACCATCAGCCCTAACTGTATCCCACTGTCACAATATCCAATCTGTCCAGTTCAGGTCCAGGTTATTTCTTTGTACCAGTCGGTAGACTTGGTTTGCAGAAAAAATAAAAGGTATCCATCGTGACACATGCTTCAAACAACACAGACACATTGAAAACCACTAGCACAGACAAAGCTGTTTTTAAACCTCTTGGTTCTACACCTTTAGGAAGATTAACCTCCGGCCCCAAGGAAGAAGCTGAAATTCAGGTTGCAGGGGTGGGAGTCTTCATTAAACATGGAGTTAGACAGCCTCTGTAACTGTCTGATGAGCAGGGACTCCAGGTTTACAGATGTAGCACTCCAGATAGGACTCCAGCTTACAGCTTCCTGCCTGCTTCCTGCCTAAGACCTGCCTGAGACCAGCATCTGGGAATGTTAAGCCCTCCCACTATTTTCCAAGAGGGCGTTGCCAGATTTTTAATTTCAGGATTTAACCAGGAGATGGCGCTTCATTCACAAATACAGAAAGACAACTTTTCATGGACTTTCAGTTTTGTTTTGAAGAGCATTTGAACACATCAATATTTTAGATCAAATAAAGTATATCTAATCTTGTAATTCAATAATATATAGTCTTTATATATTAAATAATCATAATAATAATGTAAATGTTTACATTACACTTCTTTATTTGTCATGCGGTCTACCTACGCTGTAAAATGTATTATCTCTTCGATTTACACATGGCATCTATTGCACTTCTGTCCATCCTGGGAGAGGGATCCCTCCTCTGTTGCTCTCCCCGAGGTTTCTCCCATTTTTCCCTTTAAACTGTGGGGTTTCTCTGGAAGTTTTTCCTTGTACGATGTGAGGGTCTAAGGACAGAGGGTGTCGTTTTCTCATACTGATATTCTGAACAAACTGTGCTGTTGTATTTGCTGTAAAGTGTCTTTACTGTAGGGTATTTTTATTATATGTACAGCACTTTGGCTCGACCAAAAATCGTTTAAAAATGTGCTATATAAATAAAACTTGATTTGATTTGATGCTCATACTTTTACCTTTACAATCATTTGCTTTAATATGCAGTATATCTTTTGTATATTTTTGTGTTTGCTTCCTCCTGCTCCCTTTCGGACACATACTGTATGATTTATTATTATTATTATTAATATGAAGATATTATTAAGATAAGATAAGATAAGATGTTACTTTATTGATTGAACATTTTAGTTTAGAATGTGCTATCCCACGGTAATTCAGAAGGCTCACAGGTCACATTCCGACCATTATTTAAAACAATAGGTGCTTTCATAATAATGATGAGAAACTATGAAATAAGAAATGAATCAAATTAAAATGTAATTATCATATCATATATTATATAGTGTATTGTATTATTAAATAAAAAACGTATATGTATTTAATACTAATAACATAATAATTAATTTCAGATGATAATACTTTTCAGTGTCTGTCTCATGCAGCAGCTGATCCAGTAATGAGTGACCCGGCCGAAAAAAAATAGCTAAGGGTGATGATCTGACTTGAAGTGTGTGTTTTGCTCCTCCCGCTGCATCACAGCATATACTGTGTATATCACCATTCTTTAATTAAATGTTTCATAAGTGCATGTGTTGAGCCCCTAATATGGGGAAAATATCAGACAAGGAAACAGAGACGTTGTTCGTTTGCTTCAAGTCTAATGTATTATGCACCCAACCACATGGTACACATAGCACACTGTATAATACAAAACATAGATTCTTGACATAAAACAATAACTAACAATGCACGTACTGCAAACATACATCCAATTTAACACACAAAATGTCCCTTTTTAAATGCACACTACAAACATACATATCCAAATTAACACACAAAATCCCCTTCTTGGAGCTAAACTGCACTATCATAGCTAGCGGCGCTAGCATAGCTAATGGCGCCAGAAAAGCTAGCATTCACAGCTACAACAATTACAGAACCCAGAAAAACCCTTCAAAAATACCCTCCAACAACTATCACACCAACAGTGTGCTTTTCACATTAATATTACACACAGTCAGTCTACATATATAACATTTATCACGGATGAACTCACCTAATATGGGGAAAATATCAGACAAGGAAACAGAGACGTTGTTCGTTTGCTTCAAGTCTAATGTATTATGCACCAGTGGCAAACAACAAGCGCCCTCTGCTGGACAGACCCGGAAGGTCATCAACCATGACTTGTCATATCTATTACACACTCCCCTTCAAAACAGATGTCGTCCCGACATTATAACCCACAATATTAGGCCTACATGTCAGCAACACCTATAAACATTTATTAAACACATTCCACGCTCACTGCTCAGTTTGGCAAAAGTGTACACACTCAATTTACACATTTAAGCCCTTGGCTTAGTAGAAAGTCCATCATTGTATGACAAACATATGTTCATAAGCTCTCCGTTTTTTTTACAGTCCATGAATGTATGTTGTGTGTGTGAGCACTCTACTTCTTCAAAAGTTCATCATTGTGTGTGGTGTACATGGTTGTGTCTACCAAGCTTTCCTTCCTCAGTCCATAGGTGTCTGTGTATAGGCATATCTTTCAGTACCCAGGAACAACAGGCTGGTAGTTAAACTGCGTCATCCATGTACCTATGGCTGGCACTGTAGCATAGGGCAGTGGCGGGTACCAGTATACGATGTTAGCACTGCAACAAACTGGATTACCTAGCTGATCGTATGTGAAGAATGTCGTAGGTCGTCTGTCTCTCACAGGTCGCTGAAATCCAATGTCAGTGTCATTGTTATCTTCATTTTGAACAGGTGAAAGTGGTGCCGGTGTTCTCTCTCCCAAAGCAATCTCCTCTTGAGCCCCTTTGCCTGACATGTCCTCCTCATTCAGAACATCACCTCCGCCCTGAGCCTCTTGTAGCTGGGGTATGCCTTGTTGCCGATGTTCTACATCCTGGGAGGTTTCTGTAATTTCCACTTCGGGATCCTCTCTGTGGGTATTTACCTGAGGCTGCATTACAGGCAGAGGTTGGACCCTGGGCATGTGATAATATTCACAGTCATCATCGCTGTCACTTCCATCGTCGTCCTGATGTGGTTGTTCTTTGTCCCTACTTGTCCTAGTTGTAATTTCTCTTTTTGACTTTGCAGGTTGTAGCTGTATCTCTAAGGGCAGATGGTCACATGGCAACAGGAGATTACGGTGTAGTATCCGGCTTCCTCTACTGTTCCCTTGCTCCGGCAGAACTTCATAGATGGGCATGTCTTTCCCAACCTGACGGATGACTCTGTGGATACAATCTTCCCAGTGGCTCCGAAGTTTACCTGTTCCCCCTCTGGGTGTCAGATTCCTGACGAGGACACGATCACCCTTGTGTAGAACAGAACTCCTTACTTTGCTGTCGTAAGTTCTCTTGCTCCTCTCAGCACATTTCTTTGCATTTTCTGCTGTGATCTCATATGCCTCTTGCATCTGTTGTTTCCATTTTCTCATATACTCTTGGTGGTCTGCATTTCCTGTCTCAGGGGTCAAGCCAAACAATAAGTCAACAGGCAGTCTTGGTGACCTCCCAAACAGGAGATAGAATGGGGAGAAGCCTGTAACATCACAGCGAGTGCTGTTGTATGCATAAATGAGTTTAGGCAGTGACTCTTTCCAATTTGACTTCTGCCTTTCAGGAAGCGTCTTTAGCATTTGCAGCAGCGTTCTGTTGAACCTTTCAACTTGACCATTCCCTTGCGGGTGGTAGGGCGTGGTTCTTGAGCCCATCACTCCACAGTTTTTCTTCAGCTGTGCAAATAATTGATTTTCAAATTCACCTCCCTGATCGTGGTGGATTCTCCGAGGAAATCCGAACTTCAGTGCATAATCATTGAACACCTTATCTGCCACTGTCTTGGCGGATTTTGACATTGTGGCGTAGGCTTGTGCAAAGCGTGTGTAATGATCGACTATTACCAAGATGTATTCATATCCACCCTTACATTTATCTAAATGCAGAAAGTCAATTGATACCAATTCGAATGGCTGTGTGGTGACAATGGAGGTGAGAGGAGCTCTTGTCTCTCTGTAGGGCTTCTTCTGTTTGAGACAAGCACAGCTCTGAGACACGTAGTGCTCTATTTCCTGCTGCATATGTGGCCAGAAGAAACGGTCTCGTACAAGTGATGTTGTGCGTTCCCCACCTTGATGCCCCATTTCATCGTGGAGTTGTCTCAGAACAGTTTTTTTGTACTTTTCTGGTAGGACCAGTTGTGTCCTGAAAGCAGTCTTTCTGTGAAGTATGCCATCTTCATCAAGGCTGAGTTTTTCCCAGTCGCGGAGTAAGCATTTACTCTGAGCATTGAATGATTTCAGCTCTTGTCCTGCAGGCCTCTTACCTAGCTGTTTGGACTGTATCACAGGGCCAATGTTTTGATCATCCTGTTGAGCTTGACATATGGTTGACTTTGGAAGAGGTGTCGGTGTCCTCTCATCTGTCTCACACTCAATAGCCATCACGGACCACACTGTGTTCGTATCTCTTGCTTCCACTCCTTGCACTGTAGCTTCGATTGAAGGAGACAACATTTCCTCTGTACATTCTTGCATCATCGTTTCAATGTCACAAGGCATTCTTGAAAGGCCATCAGCATCACTATTTTCTCTGCCCGGACGATATCTGAGGGTAAGATGGAAATCTGCTAGCTCAGCGACCCACCTATATCCTGTGGCGTTGAGTTTGGCTGTTGACAACACATAGATAAGGGGATTGTTATCCGTGAACACAGTGCAAGGTGAGCTGATCAGGTAGTCTCGAAATCTCTCAGTGACCGCCCACTTTAAAGCGAGGAATTCTAATTACCCTGAATGAAGATGGTAGTTTTTCTCAGCTCTGGTCAGTGTGCGAGATGCATAAGCTATTACACATAGCTTCCCCCCCTGTTCTTGATACAACACTGCACCTAACCCTTGGTTTGACGCATCCGTGTGCAAGATAAAAGGTTTGTTGAAGTCTGGGAATCCAAGTATTGGTGGC